AGACTCGATGATCTGTGTAGGTCCCTTCCGACTCATTGATTCTATGATTCTATGATATAAATTGATAATATATTGTCTGAATTGTGGTTGCACAGACAATCATAAACCTTATATTTACCAACTTTTGAGTGCTTGACTCCGCAGCCTTAAGTTTCTTTCAATGTGGATTAACAAAAAGTTTAAAACATGAAAAATAATTCACCCTGTGGAGCCATGATCACCTTCCCCTCACATTGAGATCAGCAGAATTATGATCATTAGATCCACAGCCTTGCACTGCTTGAGCTGATGAGGTTATGAATAGTGATAGAAATCTGTTACCTTGGATGTGAACCAGCACTCACTAGAAGGCAAAATATGTAACACATACCCAGTTTGCTGAACAGTTAAAGAATATTGACGCTTGAAGCTATGTTCAATTCTTGGTCCTGTAAGTGAGTTTATTGGGACTGTACAGATGAGCTCCGGGCCCTTCTGTGCTTGTCTTCACCAGCCGATCAAATCGCCCACTCCCAAGTTTCTGCTCCAGCTTTCTCTCTTCTTGATTTAATGGTTTATGTCCATCTTTCTTGCATTTATCCTTTCTCCTCTGCCCACCTCTTGTCCCTGTCCCCGTCTCATTCCCAGGCCCCACACTTACTCCTGTGCTCTCTTCCCTCTTCCTTTGTTTCAGCCTTTCTCTCATATCTGAGTGGTACTCTAGTAGTAATCTAGTTTAACCATCAACCAGAAGTCTGTACCTGACCATATACGTTTCCCTTTCACTTCAGAACATTTCCCTAGCTTATCATGCTGGTTAGGTGTGCATTTGGATGACTTCACAATCTGAGTTAGGAATATAGCCTGCTTATTTTGTGTGGAAAGGGAGAAATGTGTGTATTTGCCGGGTCTGGGTGGAAAAACGCAAAGGTTAGGCAAGGAATTAACAAATAATTTCTTGACTTTTTTATGTTCTTGTACATAGCATGTGCACCCGAATTACCTTTAACTAGATTAGTATATGGTGTGTGTGTGTGTGTGTGTGTGTGTGTAGGTGGATGCAGGCATGCATAGATATTAGGGCTGTGTGAAACGGCAGCGCTCCATTTCAACCAGTGTTTCAACAGAACAGTGTTTCATTTTGAATTTTGTTTCAATTCGAAACAGCTGTTCCGTTTTGTTCCGTTGAAACAGGGTCAAAATGGCAAAACTGTTTTGACGTTTCACCCACAGGATATAATGGGGATAGACAAAACAGCCTATACTTTGTCATTTCTGGCTTGATTTGGATGAAACATGCATGAATGGTAGCCCCTTCTGAGGCCATGAAGCCTGCCAAACTTCAAGGAGATAGGTGCAGGGGTTTAGGGGAAACTGCACCCCAAATTCTTGAAAGTAAAACTCATGTCACGTGTATGTGTTAAGCCACAGCAGGGTCAAAACTGCAGGCCTGCTAGCCCCTGTGGAGGTCACAAAGCCTGCCAAGTTTCGAGGAGATAAGTGCAGGGGTTTGGGGGAAACTGTACCTCAAGCTGCGGAGAAGAAAACTTGTGATATGTGTGACACTGCATGTGTTAAGGTGCAGCAGAGTGAAAGCTGCAGGCTTGTTAGCCCCTGCTGAGGCCATGACACCTGCCATCTTTCAAGGAGATAGGTGTAGGGGCTTCTGGGTTCTGGGACCCTGCAGCCCTAGCTGCTGACAGGCAAAACTCATGTCATGGGTGCTTGTGCAACTGTCTGTCTTGGGGCATGGGGGGAGAAGGGAGAAACTACTGCAGGCCTGGCTGCTAGGCCCTGCTATGGCCC